CTCACAGGATACTCTGTGTCCGGACAGTCAGACGTTTTCAAGGTGAAATCCGTTGCTGCAGAAGCGACAAAAAACCCAGAAGATTGAGTTTATTGATTGTCAGTAATGATGCTGTGATGACTGAAACACTGAAACGTACTGATGTACAGCTTTACGCTGTGATGTTACAGGATGTAGAAATTGTTTTTTTTTTTGTTATTTAAATTCTTAAATCCTGACTGATTTCAGATCTAAACTTCTCCGAAGGCTGGAAACTTATTCCCGGCTTTGGTGTAGGAGTCTAAGATAAGATAAGATAAGATAAGATAAGATAACCTTTATTAGTCCCACACGTGGGAAATTTGTTTTGTCACAGCAGGAAGTGGACAGTGCAAAAGTTATGACGCAAAAATTAGGATACAATAAGAATAAATACAGTACACAACTGTACAGAATAGAATAAAATAAAATACTATATACAGTAGATGCCCATCTGAACTTTTCAGCCTTCAGCTGATCCTAAATCAGCTTGACGTGGACTCAGCCTGAGCTGCTCTTCATCATCTGAAGCTGCCAAATGCGTTTACACTGACCGATGAATTTGTTCTCAGCAGGCAGGTGGAGTTCAGGGTTGAGTTCGAAGTCTCCAGCCCAGCGCTCAGCCCACTCCTCTGGGATATCTGACGAGACAAAACAAACACACCCACATTTAGCGACAAACAGGAAGCAGTCACAGGGTCAGACTGTCACCGGTGAGGACCTCCTGTAACTTTAAACTCTGCGCTAACTTCACACCACTTAATTCTGATTGTCTTGTCCGGTCACTTCCTGTTTCCTGTGAAGACTTTGCAGTAATGGCGATGATGAAGACATTTGTGAACAAAGAAGCAGGTTTAACGGCAGATTTCTTCAGTCATCTTTATTATGATGAAGAAACAGGAGTGCTGCAGTTTGCATGTTCCTCCTCTCACAGCCCAAACACAAGCATGTTTGGTTCACAGCCGAATCAGCTGTACATGAAAACATAAACAGCTGATTTGCATTTAGTCTAAATTACACTGGATCTGGCTTTTTTAAAATTTTGAGCTATCAGGCTGCTGTACATTTATTATTACGTTATTTATTATTTTAAATTTGAGACATTTACACAAACAGGTAGGACTCAAAGTCGCCTTCACAGCTTTACTCTGTTTCAAAGCAGACATTTACTCCATAAATGATTTAAAATCGCACGTATCAGTAATGTCTACACAACAAATTTTGCAGCTTCATGCACACAAACGTTTGTTGTTATTTTGTTCAACTGTTTGCTGAAAAACTGAACTAAACAGTCGTTTTACCTCAGACCTCCACGTTCTCGAAGGTGAAGTTTGATGTTACTATAGTAGCGTATAAAAATGGTCTGTGTGAGTTAAGTGATGAAAATAATAAGCGCTTCATGCCCTCCCAACACGACGACCTCCCCCTGCCTCAGGGTTAGGGTTAGCTTTTAGCTACGCGCTCCTTGGTGCAGACTAACAGAGCAACTGTGCTGTGGTTAAAGCGTCGTACCCTCCACGCTGTAGCAGGTACCGAACCATTTCTCTTTGAGGAGGCAGCAGCCTTCGTTTTCCGGCGACAGCAGCAGCAGATTCGCTCTGTCGGGTTTCAGCAGGGACAGAGCGGCGTTGATCACCTGACAACACAAACAGTTCACTGAGAGCGTAAACTCTGCACAGGACAGATTACTGCACTGATTCTGGATCAAGATCCGGATCACGGTGATGCTCACCTGGGGGTCGTACTTGAACATGAGCTGGTCTCCGGTCAGGAAGTCCTGTTTGGGAAACAGCTGCATGTTCTCGCAGATGTTCTCGACAAACTCGATGGGATCCGTCTGCCCAACACAATTGGAAGTGAGCGTTTCACAGAGAAAGACAGTAAAGAGTGAAGCTCATCATGAGGAGTTACACAACGCTTGGCTCTATCGTTTCTGTCCTACTCTGTCTCTGCTGTCCCTGACGAAGCGCCTTCTCCTCCTCTGAGTGTCTACCTTCAGCTTCTGCTCTCCTCCCTGAGCTCACATCACTTCAGCCTGACTGTGTGTCTGTGGTGCAATACCTCTACCTGTTCCTGGTAGTGGAACTCGTTGGCTTCGATCTTCTGAATTTCCTCATAGATCCTGAAAAATAAAGAAAGCAGAAACAGAGGATTTCATTCAGACAAAGAAAAAGAAATAAAAGCAGATAAAATAAAATGATCTCAGAGCTCGGTGACTTCGTCCCAGATTAATGCTTAAAAAGATTTTTTTCCTGGACGTCATTTTTCACAAAGTTTAATGACATCATAGCTTCCTCAACAAGTGTCTGGCTCCTCCCACCAGAAGTGCCATGTCCCCTCATCACATAACATCTGACTTCAGTGTGTGATAAGAACTCTGCCCTTCACTGAAGTTCTGTTTAAGCATCTTTTACAGAAGAAAATTAACAATAAATCGATCCAATTACGGTGCTCTTCATTACAGATGGGATTTTCTGATTGGATGTGGTACTGCAGACTGTGTGTCTGTTAGTGTTAGTTTATCTAATGAGTGTTAGTTAGTGTTAGTTTGATTAAAGCCGTTCCACAGTTTTATTCTGAGACTTCAAAATAATCCTTCCTTATGTTAAACTGGGTCTAGCCCTGCGGTTCATCCTGTCTGAAAAGTGATGCTTTAGCCCCTCCCATTCCAATACAACTTTCTTCTGATTGGACAGCTTCTGAAAGCCTGCAGAGGGGCTGGAGTTTGTTAGGACAACCCACTCATCTGGCCAGTGTGAAAGTTCTAAAAAACAAACTGAACCTGAACCTCCTCAGATCCATCTGAACACGCCAGAGTCTGAACCTGCAGCAGAAACTGTAGATCTTCTCTCATTTCTGAGCGTGCCGTGTCTGAAAGAAATCTGTGACACGGTGATGTCAGTTCACCGAGGTAACGAGCAATCTGAGCTGCTGGCTCACAGAGACTACTACACATACACTGACCTCATTATTACTACGGTTTAATATGAACATCCAGCACTGCTGGACTCTAAATAGACAACTTAGGTTAAGTGATGTGTAGAAGAAAGATCTCCTGTCCAGTGTGGGTGTGGTTTTCAGTGAGAGGATGCCTCTTCCTCACTAAATGCTGTAGCAACACGCCGCACGAGGACGAGGGAACAGTAAGTTCAAACTATCAGACGCTCATGGATCATTGCATGGATCATCTCAGCATGCTGCTCACAATGATACAGAAACTTACATAGAGATAAAAGAGAAACGACACAAACATGTTTGTAGATTTAAAGATGAGTGACGGTGGACGCTGAGTGGATGGTGTGCGGTGGCGTGATCATACATAAATACAATGTCAGCAACAACACACCTGATTTTCAACAGAAGAATGGTGTAATGGAGACATCTGCTGAGCTCTCACTTTTCAACCAAACGTGACAGATTTTAGCTTCTACATCTGAGCCAATCAGATGTCAATTAGAGCTCTAATCAACAGGAAGCTGCTCAGAGGGAAAACAGGAAGTCACAGCTGGAATTGGGCTAAATTCACACCTTTGGAACAGCTTGCAAAGATGACTTATAGTCTTTCAACAACAACATAAATCCTAAATAGAATTGTTTTTAAATGATGATGACCAGATTTGACCTAGAAAGCATTGTCTATGGACGTCTGCAGCTGAGATGGGAATTAGGTTTTTAAGCCTGACCTCTGCTGGGGGCCCAGAGTCTGCAGCATCTTCAGATACTGGAACACAAAGTGGACGACCTGCAGAGAGAACAGCAGCACGGTGAGGCCCCAAACCTAAGCTTTTACATCAGCAAACACATTTTTGTGTGTGTGTGAGCATGTACTCATATCTTTGTGGCAACCAAAAATTAGAAGTTTAATATCTTTTAAGTTTTTTAAGTTTGAAGGCATTTTTGAGACTCAAAATGTGGTTTTAGTGTCAGGGTTACAGTTAGGTTATGGTTGTGGTTACGGTAAGGAAC